TTTGTAGTGACCACAGCTTTAGCGATGTCATAATTTTACCTTTGTATCTTCTCCTATCGCATATCCATAAAATTTGCGACCTCCTGGAGTCTGCAGCACGAGTCAACTTCCTCCCTCCTCCCTCCCCACTCTTCCTCCTTATCCTCCTCACCAAGGTTGCGCGGAGAGCTCGGAGGGTTTTGTGGATCCTCGACTGGTCCTCCCCTCCTGACACAACGTTTCTCACTCTCACTGCCTGTTACTGTCCTGCGATCTTGTCCTCCCCTCTCTCTCCATCCATTCCTCCTTGCTTCCCCTTCCCATCCTCCTCTCCCTCCCTCTCTTCCTCACTGTAATCCCTTCTCCACCACCACCACCACCTCCTCCTCCTCCTCAACCTCCTCCACCTCTCCCTCTCCATCTCCCTCTCCTCTCCTCTCCCTCTCCCTCTCCCTCTCCCCCTTCCTCTCCTCCTCCCTCTCTCTCCTCACCTTGCAAGAAGAAGCATCCCAGCACGTCCATTCCCGCTGGAAGCAGCTGCTTGACATGCTCAGCCTCCTGCTCAGCCCCAGCTGGAGTCAGCAGGGAAAATTCTCAGCACACTCGGAAACCTTCTCGATCCACTGCTCCGAAAATGCTCCATCTTCCGGGATAGCAAAGCCCTTGAGAGAAGGTGAGAAGAGGGCTGGAGAGCAAGGGAGGGAGGGGGAGGGAGGGAGGAAGGGAAGGGAAGCAGAGGAAGGGAGGCAGGGAGAAGAGAGAGAGGGAAGGAGAGGAAGGGAGAGGGAGAGAGGGAGGGAGAGGGAAAGTAAGAGGGAAGGAGGAGAGGAAGTGAGGGAGAGAGGGAAGGAGAGGGAGGGAGGACATGGAGGTAAAAAGTCTCACTCACCGTCACAATGTCTTCTTCTGACAGACAAAAGCCCAAGAGAAGGCCTGGATGAGCCAGAAGACTCGTCATGCGCGAGGAGATGAAAAGAGAAGACAAGGAGAGCAGCAGGAGCAGCAGCAGGAGCGGGAGCGGGAGCGGGAGCAGCAGCAGGAGCAGGAGCAGCAGCAGGAGCGGGAGCAAGAGCAAGAGCAAGAGCAAGAGCAGGAGCAAGAGCAGGAGCAGGAGCAGGAGCAGGAGCAGGAGCAGGAGCAGGAGCAGGAGCAGGAGCAGGAGCAGGAGCAGGAGCAGGAGCAGCAGGAGCAGGAGCAGGAGCAGGAGCATGATCTCTACCAACCTGCAGGGGCGGAGGACGAGCGGAGCTCGTCGAGACAGGAGGCCTGCATGGTGGGACGAGGTCACGTGATATCACGTGACATATAAAGGAGGTATTGAGTAAATATTTCCCCGACTGGAGAATGCGGGGGAGAGGCAGGAGTTAGCGGGGAGAGACAGGAGGGAGCGTCGGTCAAGCAGAGGATACGAGAGGACGATGGCACGGGAGCGGGAGGGCAGGAGGGCAGGAGGGCAGGAGGGCAGGAGGGCAGGAGGGCAGGAGGAGAGGAGGAGAGGAGGAGAGGAGGAGAGGAGGAGAGGAGAGGAGGAGAGGAGGAGTCACTGGAAGCGATTTGATGTAGTGGAGAAGAGGATACAGGAGGAATGTCATACATAGGCAAGGTTTTATGCAAGCCCTACCTTCCTGCCTTGATCTCTTTGCTCTCCATTCTTTCCTTCAATCCTTCTTTCTTTATTGCTCTCTAATCGCCTCTTGTATCAGGGAAGGTCCCCACGTAAGCACAGATGCCCTCAAGGCTTCTCCTCTCACTCATCCTCTTGGGAAGCGTGCTTCCCGCAGACTCCTTCTGTCCTCCCTCCCTCCTCCCTTCCCCTCGGCGGTCCCTTGCCGTCAAAAACCCAGCTCCTCGACCTCGAACTCGCCGCTTAATCTCCCTGCATCCATTGGGGCTGCGAGGCAGCGCTGAGGAGACGACGAAGCTGCCGGGGGTGGGACGCGTGCTCTTCATCGAGACAGGGTTCGGAGCGGACCAGCATGGTCAGAACGCGACCAAGGCGGCTCAGAGGGCATGCCGCAACGCCATCGAGTTCAACTCGATCCCAAGCATTGCTGGGCTGATCCCGGGAGGGTACGCCGACATGGTCCTGCGTGTTACCCTGGCAGTTCCTCTTGGGTATGCGCTGACGTTGGACCTCGACAAGGTTCGAACGGTCTTCCCCTACGGCACCTGCCACTTCTCGGTGGTGGAGGGAGGAGCAGCGTTCAGCAGCGGGATTGCGCTCTCTGCCCTTGGCGACCTGAACGACGACATGATCATCGTCATCGCGCACGTTGTTGTAGGCGAGGGAGCAGCAGCTGCTGCTGCAGGAGCAGGAGGAGTAGACGCAGCGACTCTGGAGGAGCGAGACGTCATCTCCTACAAGCTCGCGAGCCGAGACGCCTACGATATGCTGGTAGATCGCGTGCGGGAGAGGATGAACTCCTCTCGGCAGACGTGGGTCGCCATCGCCGGCCCCCCGGGGAGCGGGAAAAGCTCACTGTCCAGCGCCCTGACCCAACGGTTCAAGGAGAGGAACGTCTCCTGCGCTCTGATCCCCATGGACGGCTATCACATCCCCAAGGCCATGCTTGACCCTGCGGCAGCCCCCAGACGAGGGGCTCCCTTCACCTTTGATGCCGATAGGCTCTGCCGTGACTTGCGGAGGATCCGGGAGGAACGGGAGGGGAAGGTGCCGGGGTTCGATCATGCCGTAGGAGACCCAGTTGAGGACCAGCTGGAGGTGAAGCAGACGGACAGGGTGGTGCTGGTGGAGGGGAACTACCTCCTGCTGGAGCAGGAGCCCTGGCGGGAGCTGAGAAGCCTCTTCGATGACACTTGGTTCATGGAGTGCGAGGACGAGGAGCTGAGAGCGAGGGTGGTGCAGAGGAACGCGCGCGCCTGGGGCTGGGATGAGGACAGGACGGCTGCTCGGGTCGACTCCAACGATATGGTCAATGCCCAGCTGGTGCAGGGCTGCCGGGACCGAGCAGAGCTGAAGCTCGTTTCTCCTCGCCTTCTCACACAGCGGAGCGACAAGGCGGCCGCGACTGAGGTGACGGCCGTTGTCGGCATGGAGCGTGTGCTGTTTGTGGAGACCGGCTTCGGAGCAGATCAGAAGGGAGTCGATGTTACCAAGGCGGCACTGAGAGCTTGTCGAAACGCGATAGAGTTCAACTCGGTGCCGTGCATACGAGAATTCGGCTATGATCGGATGCTAGTACGTGTCACGGTCGCCGTCCCAGAGCGTCTGCTGGAGGAGGTTGACGTCGAGGCAATCAAGCAGTCTTTCCCTCACGGCAGAGTTGAAGTGCAGGTCAAGGGAGGAGGAGGATACTTTGCCAGCGGGATTCGAGGAGAAGTAGGTCAGAGAAGGGTAGACACCATGCTTGTGGCTGTTGCTCATGTGCTGGTGGGCCTTGCGAGCTGACCGCAGTGACTCAGGTTGTAAGTATAATATCAGATCCAACAAATCCACATTCAGCCTCCTCCCTTCACTTCCTCCTTTCCCTCCAGCCTCTTCTCTCTTCCTCCCTATGTCACAATGAGCCTGTCTGTACCTGCAACATCCATCAGCTCCGACTGGCTGCAAGGACAGCACTTTACCTCTGAAGTTGAAGTTGCCCAACGATCTCTCTACCCCAGGTGAAAAGAATATGGAGTGATACGGCGACCCGTACCTGCCGCCTGTCAGGATTGTCTACTTCATCCAGCTGCAGCTCACCCAGTAAACATCTCCTTGCTCAAGCGCTCCCCCGCCGAGCTGCGCACAAGGAAAATCATCAGGTGACTTTACAACCGGCTGGGTCGCAGCTGGACCTGCTCTTCCTCCAGAACGAACAGCCGGGCGACGCGTCATGATGCGCAACTGTCTACTTGTCAAATGAGGTCTTCCCTCTATTCAAGCATGTACCCCAAGGGTCGTCGCCTTCTTCCCAGTATGCCAACTCCAGCCCACAAAAGACGCAGAGCACCTGCCAGAAAGGTCAGGAGCAGGCGGCGAAATGGCGTCCTGACCTTGTCAGGGCACTCGGAGTCAGGAGCGAACACGAAACCAGCCTGTGCCATCGCACTCTTCGACAACCTGATCCAACGTCACCCAACCCTGCGTCTCCACAGACTCAAGGAAAAACTCACTTCGGCACGTGCGAATGCGGCCAAGAATACAAGAATGAGTTTTCACGCCCCTCGACTGTACGAATCCCGTCCACTTGGTCCCCGAATTGCTGTTCTCAGCATCAAACACCCTGCTAGCTCTCAATCGGCTCAGACCTGTCTGACAATGGATGCTATGCTGTCTCTCGACGAGAAGGAAACATGAGGCGTGAGAATATCAGCCACGCTGCAAACCAAGTCAACCACTGCACACCATCGCACATGGTGAAGTCACCCGGGCGAGGTTTCTTGGATGCCCCCACGTGCTATCAACGGTCTGAATGCTGTGTGCACATGTTCACCTATCACCGAATAAGTTCTGAAATGCTGACAAGCTCCAAGTACCACGGTACTCCTCGTGGCAGATAGCAGCTCCATGTCTCGTTTCCGATCTAATATCATCACCTTGGATGGCAGACAGATCTTGTCTCGCGGCTAATGGAAAAATAATTCAGAGATGAAGGTGTCTAATATGTCAACGCACGTGCTCTGTATCGGCGAACTCCCATGCCAGGCTGTAGATTTTGCCGCGAGTACTCCTAGTCAGAAAGTAAGAAAGTGAACAATCATTCAGCATCATCATCATTGAAGGGACCCGACAATGCCGATACTCACATCCAACCCATAGCTCGAAGAGTTTGCAGGAGACTTCTCATGCTTTTGAAACAGCTCCGGAATGAAGACGGCAGGATCTGTGAATCCAGTCATCTACCCTCCTGCCTCTGCAGAGAAAGTTACCTCTCCTTGGCGGAGGTGGCTCGACGATGGCGTGGTTCAGCGCACTCTGCAGAGCCGTTACATGTGCTACAAAACAAGAGACAGTGATACTTGATACGAATTAAACTTGATCAGAAATTCCCCCATGAGTACTACAGTCCTCACAATTTCAACCTGCAAACTAGTGAGATTGAAAATAGCTCCCTATTCCAATCACATTTCTCAATATTCCATTGCTAACAATGCCCAACGAAACCCTTGAAAAAGGCCTTCCCTTTAGGATCGACGAGAAATCCCTCTGAAGAAATCAAACACTCAAACCATTTTGAAACCCAAGTGACCATTTACCGGTTGTCCCACATCATTCATGCGGATCCCGTCAACAAGTACAATCTTTCACTGGTGTCACTTCTATCCGACAGGATCTCACTTCAGCTCACCTTGTCACCAACTCTGATTTGATTTGACAGCGACGCCGCTCCCCCATTCTGAAGTTTGCGAACCACCAGCGAGCCATCATCCATCCTCTCAAGGTCCAGTCCAAGTCCGATTGGCCCCTCGCTCAGCCGTTCCTGCTCGGACATCAGAACAAAACATCTGCGACTCGAGCTGCCAGACCGGAAATGGCACGGGGGGTTGACGAAGAAGTCGGACGACATGCTCTTTCACCTCGCCGGACTGCTATCAAGTAAGATCCAGTCACCCCAGACAATCGGGTGAATCACATGTCTCTTGTGTCTCAAAGTAACTTCAATCGGTATCCCTTCAGGCCCAACGATTCGCCGCTTCACATCATCCACGGTCTCACCAACCACACTGCTCGACACGAGTGAACTCATGTTACAACAGGCTGCCATTTCAAGACCTGACTCCATCAACGCATAGGATAACGTCCTCGACTGCTACGTTGCAAGAGAACGCTGCTGGGCCACCGGGGATAACCTGATCAACGGTAAATTGAGAGCACACTTGCTAATACCTTGATACCTTGGTGACGAATAGCTCACCGTGTTCATTTGTATTGATATTGCATCCTATCCCACACTGATAAAGTGAATCAGCTCGTCAAACAACTGATCCATCGGATCCAACCTGTTTCGGACCAGAAGTGGGGGGGCTTGGAGCTTCTTGAAGTGGTAACATTTCTCTGGCACCTGTTTCCTTGTCTATTCACAGCACATTGTCCGCTGGCTCCCGGTTTCTAAACAAGGAAACAATCACTGACAGATTTCCCCACAACACTGTCGAAACATCTCTTTCTGTGCGCGTATGAAAGATCAAAGCAAGCATCCATGCCATGGCACGTGCACAAGAATAAGAACATAGTAAATATACAGTTTTTCGCCTCCTGACTCAAAATCAAACTCACTGTGAACAAGTCTCACAAACATGACTGGAGCATGCCTGACATGAGGTTTGTGCAATGGAATCTATTGCATCACTACCCTATGTCGTTATGCTACCTATGTCGGTATGCTACCTACTGTAGCCTCATGTACCACTATCATCTCTCCTTTTCCTGGCCGTCCTTGACTAACATCGCTCACTCCTGTCGCTCCCTCAGCTTCAAGGTAAGTCAACCATGCCTCCAAATACGCATCTCACAGCAACTTACTCAACCAAAAATCGAGATACAACATGTCATCATCTGCTCATCGTTCTCTCATCCACAGGGCCGTGCTGCGGTCTGCAAGCTGCTCATACACCTCTAGAACCATCGGTGACTGTCACAACCGAAGCGCGGCTACTACATGCGAACTGAGCAATGATCCTCATGTCACTATATTGTTCTCGGTCAAGCTAGAATATCAACTCAATAAATTATTCATTTCGTGGAGCTGATGCGGGTCCCCGCTCTTGTTGTCCCATCCCGCATCTAGCCGCAACTTTTCCTCTTCGCTCGTAAAACTTGCTCAGATTGCCTCTATCAAACTTCTTGTCTTGTTCAATTCATGCAACATGTCTGTTTCCTCTGGAAAATCTGACTGCTCCCGCTCCCATCTCTTCATCAACACCCCCACATCCTCTTTAGCCTCTTCCATCCCAGCCGCGATCGGCGCCAAAGTCCCTGCCAGCATTTTTTATGGTGGAAGCTCAAGAGTTTTATTCTTACAATTGAAATGATTAAAATAAATATTATAGGTAGTTGGTATCAGATACGGTCGAGCTGTAGGTGGATAGCCCCCTCGGTGTTTTAAACACAAAGTTTAAAAAGGAGTTTTATCTTATTTTGTCAGGGGTAGGTGGATTGGGTGGGTAGAGGTCCAAGTGGGGTGTTGTAATGCTACCGGGTCTATTAGAGTGAACCATTGAAAATCCCGGGGTACCCGTAGTGTATTGGGGGGTGGGGGGTTGTTTGAGATGCCATCGAGAGCTTTCTAGTTCAGTAGGCAACTTAAAACTAAGAAATATTTTTTTGTTCGTCGCATTACTGGATGACTACAACAAAATATTTATTAATAAATGTTTTTAGTTGTTCTTGAAAGGATTGTATTAAAGGAAACATTTTCGGAAAATATTTTTCAAGACGATTTCAACCATCTTTCTCCAAATTCAAATGATGTGACCAATTTCTTTCGTCATGATGTTCATGACTACCATTCCAATCCCAAACGCCGCTGATGAATCAAAAACACTCTAAAACATTTTTGAATTTTAAATTGTACCGATTCTTTATTATCAAATTATTACAAAGAGTGCTCCCGTTTGCTCCAATTCGTGTGAGACCCTACCCTTTCTCTCACTACTGACCGACCCTTTTCCCTTAACCGTACCACCCTACCCCCTGGTACTGACACTGAAACCCCAACGCTCTCTTCCGCCTGGTACAGGATACCCTTCACATTCCATATGTCCAGTACTCCATGACCCCACCCACCAGTAGTGTCGGTCCTTTTGTACAATAATAGTAGCCCCGTTTGGAGGACCCACCCCCTTCCATGCCAGTAGTAAATTGAAAACTTTCTCCAAGAGCCGTGGCCTACGAGGGGAAAAAAAAGCGGGAATATTCATATTTCAAATAAAAACGAAATACTCAACTTCTCAATACTTCAAATATTCCACAACAATTTCAAGAAGTAATGCAATTTAGGTTGACTCAGGCTTGAAATTCCCAAACCCCCAAAAAATCTTCCTGTACGGGTCCTTTTGGCTGGTTTCTGTTCTAGGGGGGTGATAAAGCCACATGCTCCTTGGGCTTGAACGGCCGTGACGGTCATCCAGGCCGCCCGGTACACACTACTCTCAGTGAGTCGGTATAAGGCCGTGCCAGGCCGTGCCTGCCTCAGTCCGACCAACCGTTGGGCCCGGGCGCCCGGGCCGGGCCACCCGGCCGGCAGAGTCTCACAGCCGCCGAGTCCTGCCGCTGCCCGCCTGGCCAACGCGGCGGCCTGCAGCTGAGTCCGACCGTCATGCCCGGACCCGTGGCCGCACAGTGACACGCCGGTAACTGAGCCGGGACCGTCCGACTGCACTGACTGCAAAAACACTGTACTACTCACGTACGGTCACTGCTCCGAAGGCTAGAGCGCTGACTGAGTAGTCCAGTGACTCGTTCGGATGACCCAGTGGTGCCCGAGAGAGCCTCCTCATTACTAAGTACTGAGTACGGGTCACCCGGTGGTTCTCACTGGAGGCTGTTAAGAATGAAGAAGAGCACAAGCTTGCGAGACAAGGACTCCGGACTCCCGCCGCTGTCTAGCCCTGGAGTCCTTCCGAAGTTCCCTCCGAGGCTCAGCCTAAGAGGATCAGCCTGTTGTTCAGTGAGATGGGTCTGTTGTGTCCTCATGCTACATGCCACGAGTGATCTAGCATCGCTAGTAAACTAGATATCACTGCACTACACCCTTGTGTGTGATCGTCGGATCCAGCGGAGGTGCCTTGCTTGCATACGGTAGTACATCGGCACGTGATCAGCCTGGGAGGTTCCCAGCAATCGCTTCTTTTGCTCATGATATCTCTCTTTTCATATACATCAAGTTTGAAATTATACTTCTTCATCGTTGTCGTTTCAAGGGTAATGTACATCAAAGTACAACAGTCCGGCTTCCTTCCTCCGTATTTTCATCCTCCTTGTCCTTCGCTTTTGACTGCAGCAATTCTGTTCAGCCCTGTGTTCCACGAGTTTGAGAGCTCTGTAGCAGGAGCTCAGCTCATCATGCCCCACGAGATGCTTCTGTTGTACAGCCTCCTCGCCGTTGACTCATACCCGCTCGAGTAGGTCTCTGTCCAGCTTCCGTCTGCCTCTAGAGATGACTGAAGAAGCCTCTTTCCAAAGTGTTTCTTGGGGCTACTGCCTTTATCAACATTAGACTTGAAGTACATACGAGGAAGAAGAGTGCAGGAGCCGTCCTTGGCCATTATTGTTGCTTGCTGAAGCTCAATGCAGTCTTGTAGAAGTGAACAACAAAAATCTAAAGAAGAAGTGTGATGCGGTCTTGTAGAGGTGGACAGCTAACTGTAAGTTGGATGGCGATCGTTGATTTCGATTGCAGGGGACTGAGAAGGAGAGGGGAATTGGAGACGCTGACTGTGGAGAACGGGCTTTTAAGGTAAGGAGGGGAGAATACGACCAGGGAAACAGATTTTTATCTTGTCATCTGGTTGGAGGGTGGCCGGGTGTTGTAACGGTCAAAAGGTGGGGTAGGGGTAGTGTCAGCAAAGCCGATTCGGATCGCTTTCAGTAGCAACCGGGCACTGGCAGGCACAGAAAATTTTCCTCCTACTGATTTTTCACTTAACTTTGAGTAAAAATCAGGCCGGGAAGTCGAGTCTCTGGCTCTTTACTACTCGAGTCAGTAGTGTGTGGTGATTGAAACTTCCGGTCACCGTCTCGTTACGCCGGCTCGGATTCGTTGAATCCTCCGATTCCTGATCCGCCGCAGCCTGCGGCCGCTGACTCCGAGGAGACTGGTCAGTGACGGCGGAAACGCGGCCCGGCCCGGCCGGGGCGGCCGGCGGGGCGGTCGGTCCGCGGCCGCGGGCGCCGCCGGCTGTACGGTGACTGGCCGCTGAGTCACGGCGGCCCGGCCGCTCAGCACTCCGAGGCTTAGTGCCCGGCCTGAGCCATCCCCGGCCGGGGCCGCCAGGAGGACCCGGCCCTCCGCCGATCATCCATGGCAGGCTCCGAGGCTCTGCCGGGGCAAGTTCACCGGGCCCGGCGGGCCACCGTCGGTCTTCCCAGCGGCCGCCCTTACAAAACCGTGTTCCGAAATGATCAAGGAATAGTACGGTACCGGAAGTAGAACTGACCGGCATCCAAATTTAGAACCCGGTTTCATGAACAGTTGGAGCGAAACAATCGTCAGCAAGAAGATTATCCTGGCAGAGACGGCCGCCTGCCAGGCTCGGAACTCAGTTCAACGGTTACGGTTAGCACGGTCCGTTGTGATCGGACCGGGACCGCGGGCCGCCGGTCAGCCCATTGCCTCATCATATGACGCCGCTGAACGTCCGTCAACTGATTTTGCATCGGCGGATTCCGGAGTCACCAGTGCGCGGCCTGAGTCTCAGTGACAGTGAGAGGCTCCGGGAGTCCCGAAGTTACTGCCGCCGCACTGCTGTCGGCCCGGCGGCCCGGGCCGAACTTGTTGAGGTTGGCAGTCGGACCGTCCGGCGTCAACGGGCCGCCTCCTACAAGGCTGCGCTATGGAGCGACTTGGCATGCAGCGCCTGAGGGCGCAGGCGGAGGCGACGCTGCAGGGCAAGGGACGCGCGATGCTGATCATGAGAGCAGACGGTGGCGGAGAGCATGAGAAGACAGCGGAAGAAGAGCGAGACGGCGGGAGTGATGAGGTAGAGCACATGGAGGAGGAAACACACGATGTTGTACAGCGGTTAAGAGAGTTTGCGGAGTTGGAGATGTTGGGAAAGGCGGACAAGAATCACTATAAAGGTGCTTCCGACGTTCACACGTTTGGCAAGATAGACAGATCCAGGTGAGCTAGATGGTTGGAACATCCTCTCTATCTTGAGCTGTGAGAGAGGCTTGCTGGTGGAGTGCTCATAGTGACAATGCAGGTTTGAAGCAAAGAAGCGAAAGATTGCAGCAAGATATGAAGCGAGCAAGAAGCTAGAGGAGGTCAAAGAGCAAGAAGCCTCCATGGCTGGTGGCCAGTGGATTGACCAGAATTGGGTATCAAACTTGGCCTTGAGGGAAATGGGGGACGGCCTTGTGTTGAAAGACTGGTTGAAAGAAGTAGCCATATACCTTGTGCTTGTTTTTGCCTTCACGTACTCGCTGTACTCTGGGAGGAACAATCGCGAAAAGATCGAAATGAAAAGCATCTTCGTCGATTTTGTTCAGAGGTCCTTGCAAAACGTCAGGTGTCTTGACTCTTTGCCATATTCTGTGTGTCCTTCCTTTGACATGATATGTTTGTTCTCAGCTCGTCAGACGACATCACCAAGTTTCTACGAAACTTTGGCAGTCAGACAGCATGTCCCTCATGCATGGCTTTCTGGACGAATTACACAATGCCGGGGACTGATGGAATGATCCTTGGAAATGCCTTGACAGGAAGAATTGAAATCATTCAAAACCGCATCTCTGAAGGAAAATGCTCCAAGATCCATGCAAACTTGGTCAAGCAGGGCCTCATCGCAGATGGAGCATGCTATCCTCCTTGGAACCCGGAGGCAGAAGCTCAGACTTTTACGATAGCCAACGACGTCGCGCCGACCCAGGCTGGATCCCTTCCCTTCTTCAAGTACCGGTCTTCTGCTCTTGCTGGCTTCACAGGCGTCAGCGGCACATATCCAGCGAGTGGGTTCGTGGCGAGTTTCACTTCAGCCGACGCTGCCGCCACTATCGAGTCCCTCATCGCAAACCAGTGGGTCGACGCCAAGACAAGATTCGTCCTTGTGGCGTTTGCAGTCTACAATCTTGAGATGCAATTCTTCGTCTTGTCAGATGTGGCGTTTGAGCTGCTTTCCAACGGAGCAACCATCATACATCAGTCCTCAGACACCATAGTACCCAGTCGGTACGACATGGGATCTTTCAGCGGGCTGATAAGGATTGCCATGCTCGCCCTTGTATTCTTGATGGTGATCTATTACGCATTTGAAGAGCTCGATAGCTGCAGGAGAAATGGGCTGAAGAAATATCGAACACCAGGATGGGGTTACGTCGAGCTTACCAATATCTTGCTGTTCGTGCTCTTTGGGTTCTTGAAGCTGGCGAATTACATCTCCTATCAAATCATGATCTACCAGAAGTCAGACTACAACTCGTTGCTATCGAGGTTGCGATCTCTTGCGAAGAGTTATTTCATCGAAGACCAGGTTGCTGGGCTGATTGCATTCTTGCTCTGGTTCAAGCTGCTAAAGTACATCTGCATCCACAAGAACCTGCTCCTGTACACCAAGGCTCTAGAGCACGGCTTCTTCGAGTTTGTTTCCCTCGGCGCCATCTTCTGCCCCCTCTGGTTTGGCTATGGGATCATGGGATACATGCTCTTCGGCGAGACCTCGGAGCAATTTTCTTCCATCACCCGATCTTGTCAATCCTTGATCCTTGGCATGTACGGCCATCTGGACTTCATCAAGCTGCAGGAGGAGATTGGGGACGCAGGCATCGCCTTCACCATGATCTGGATCTTCATGAGCACCTCAACCTTCTTCAACGTCACGGTAGCGTTCATGATTGAGGCTCTGAATGTCGTGTCCTCCGACGAGGCGACGCTGAGGACACAGACTGTGCTGGACAAGGTCCGTGAGCTGATCGAGAGGAGGAATGCGGAGTTGAAGGAGTTCAGGAAGAGCGCTTCGAAGCAGCACAGGAAGAAGGCTCGCAAGTCTGCTGGGAAGAGATCATGCTTTCCATGCTGCTCCAGTGCTCAGGTAGCCGACGAGGAGGACGAGGAGGTGCAGGAGGTGGAGGTGGAGGGAGAGGCGGAGCGAAATGAGGAGCTGGAAGAAATCGAGAGGGAGCCGAAGCGCAGGCAGAGCAGCATCGTGGAAGAGAATTGGAACCCATGGACCCCACCGGAGTGAAACCCGATTGCTCCTTTTCCTCCTTTGCTTTTCCATCTGTTGCGATCATTTTGTACAGTATGATGTAAATGAACACGAAAGAAAATGCCGATCTCCTTCCTACCTTGCTCAGTTAAGTATACGTTCGAATGCAGGAAGCACGATAATGCAGCAACGACGCCGCCTTACAGGAAGGATGATGGTGTGTGCTACATCACATCATGTCTTAGAATCATTCTAGGCATAGTTGTACAATACTTCTACACATCTTTCACTTGTAATCACAATAGATAACCTTTCATTTGTACAGATGAACATGGCCTTTCTTCACCCCAATTCTTTGGTATTTCACTTGCATGTATTGACATTACAGTGGACATCGCCTACACACACTGAGCTCTTCTGCAACGCACATTCATGTATTACACTAGCAACTACACCAAAACATCTCTACACTTTTCGTCCTCGCCCGCTCTTCCTAAGCAAGTCCACCACCGTCATCCACGACAAATGGCTAAACCTTGACGTCGCGTCCGATTCTCCTCTTGCGTCCTTGTACACGTCCATCAGAAAGTTTTCACACTGATCATACATAAACCCTGCTTCGTCTACCCCGTCCGGTTGCTCCACATACACCCCCAGTGCTCTGGCTTCTATTTCTATTTCCCTCACAAGGTACCGCAAGTCACTGAATCTCTTCTTTTGATCTTTGGTGTAGAAATGGCGAGGCTTCAAGGTTTTGTAAGCAGGATATCCTTTCTCCCTGTTTCCGAAATGCCATTGTGTGAAAATCGCTCTTGTATTCGCCTTCACCCATTCGAAACTGGTGGGAATTAAGCTGCTCTCGTCCCCTTGCACTGTGTTGTCATTCACTGTTTGCCTGTTTCCGTCATCAACCTCGCCGCCATCGCTGTCTTCAGCATCTTCCATCCCATCCTCCATCTCCCGATCCTCCGTCACTCTGCACCGAGCCCCTTCCCGTGTCGAAGTTCTATTCCTTACGCCTGATCTCCTGCGCACACCCATACTCTCCTGTGAAAGACTTACCGCTCTCTGAATATGTTTCATGCCTTCTTCCAACTTCTTCATAGAGCATTTCACCTCTTCAATTGTATTCTGTATCCCTACCAGGCACTGCTGCATTCCTTGCATCTTCGCATTCATTTCCTCTCTCCATTCGCCATCTCTTTCCCTTGTTTTCGTCACGAAATCATACATTCTCCATACTACCTCAATCAAATGCTTCAGGGTATCCTCCGCTGCTGCCTTCACGCCTGCATCCGTATCTGTTCCTCCATGCTCCAACAAATCGGCTAGCGGAGGATTCTCTTCAATCGATCGAAAGATTGAATCAGCTGAAGTGCGGAAGCAGGTTGCAAGTTTCTCCTCTATTGTTGCATTTGTTTTTGTCAAGTGATTGATAGACCCTCTCATCTCGGCAATGTTCAGGTTCATGCCGTCTACGGCCCCTTTCATTTCCTCCATTGATCGGATTGTCATGACATGAGGAGGCAAACCAGTGGGTTTTCTGCCGTTCACGTCCATTGAAATGTATCGGCTCAACAATGGTAGAAATTCATGATATGAAAAGAGCTCTGTATCGAATAGAGGATGATTTCCTGGCATGTTCCTTCTCAACCAATCCTGGTGGTAAACCACCGCCGCAATAGCCTGCTCTGCAACATACTTCTTCTTCGCATCCAGGTTGGGGAAAAGTTGATCTATGACTCTGTCTACTTGCATTCTGCTTTCCCTGCTTTCACATTTGAAGAATGGTGGCAAGATGCCGAAGTCTGCATGATTCATGGGGAGACCGCACACTGTCCGTCCAACGTAGCAGTCAGACGCTGCTTCATACTTCAGGTGCGTGTCGTAAATTGTCCCAAGCTTCCACTCTGCTCGAATGCTTATCGCTGCTAGGCTCGGGCAAGAAGTGCTCCCACTGGCACAGAAGGTCGACGCTCCTTTCCGAATAGAGTGACTCCCTGCACAAACGTCAACTCGATTCATCATGTCTTTTGGGATGAAGCGTGTTACCGATCTCGTTTGCATTCAAACCCTTCCCGTGAATTGCAGCAGCTACTTCCTCATCCTCAAGGAGAAGTCTGTTGCAGAATAGCTTTCGAAATCTGTCATTCTGGTTTGTACCTGATGCTCGTGATCAACAACACATGATGACCACAAGGCAACCTCACCTGGGAACAGACGCCCACCGCTTGCAGTATGATTAAATCCGTAACAGCAGAAGTAGACGCCTGTGATATGTCATGCCAATGTTCCCCCCCCCCCAACCGCTACTCACCCAGTGCTAGCAGAGGACATACTTCAGGTGAACACACGTTGCTATAGACATGCTTTGGATTCCGCGATTTCTGACCAGCCTGATCATTTTTCGAGTTAATTACGTAGAATCGCAAGGCATCCCCGAAAAATTCCATGTCATCGTACAACAGTGTGCATACGTTTCTGGATCTGGACATCAAATTCCATGCCAGAATCAGAAAGGTTCTGGCCCAAACATATTCTCTTTCTGGTTTCTGTAGCATAACCTTTGCCAATACTGAGTACAAATCGTATGACAACGGAACCTTGCCGGTTGTCACTGCTGCGTTTTGGTTGCAAGATTCAGAAAGATTCAATGTTCGCTTCAATCCTCTGAAGTCACTGCTCAATGTTTTCACCGCCTCCGTGCTCAGTGTAACCCCGTAATTCTTGAGCATGTGCATCAATCCTGACTTGTACGACGAGCATGTTTGGATTGTTAATCTGGGTTTTGTTGAACTTTATGGGTCACCCAGTCAAGAAACATGACTGGCGTGAATTTTTCAAAATAGATGGGATGAATTGTATTCTGTAATATTACGCTCTTGATGTAAGTTGTAGTTGGCATACTCTCCTCAGTCATCGCCGGCTCTGTCACCTCATCAGATCCGTTCAAGAATTTTTCATGTTTTTCACGCATGTTCGTTTTGAATTCATCTGTTATGAGAGCATAATACTCGTCATTCGCGTACAACCATTCTATGAAGCGTATCATGTAATTCATATACACCTCTCTAGTATTCTCCGACACACTGTTGTGCTGAATGCGTGCACGTGTACGTGCACGGTTGAATTCTTCAGAGTCCCGATCCTGCCGTTGCACACACAAAACAGCACGGCTGTATTGAGGACGCTTGCTACCTCGCTGCGCCATAGGCTGCTCCGGCGATGGATCGGCGAATGGATCTTCACGTTGCAAGACATCTCCGTCCTCTTCGACAGAGACAGCTGGAATGGCCTGTTCCCCTGCTACCACTGACCCCGTTGAAGGATGAACCTCTTCCATCACCTCATCCCCGGAGCCCCCCCGATCCTCTTCTGCCGTCACTTCAACTTCTTCCGTACTACGTGAGATGATCCCCTCCGCGCCAGGCATAGCTATGCTTCCGTTGTTCGCGCCGCAACCTGCCAACCCCACAGGTGCCGCTGAAAGGATGTTGCACCCCTACCCCCAAATGGGGTTCAAACTAGGGGTACTAGTGTGACGGGTGGGTTGAAAGTAAAGGTAAGTAAAGTATTGTACTGTGAAAGTAAGGGTAAGTAAAGTATTGTACTGTAAAGGTAAGGGTAAGTAAAATAATTGTAGGGTGTGATTGTTTTTTTCTTGATTTGACTAGGCAGTTGCGGTGGGGGATGGCGGTGGGAGAGCGAGAGGAATATATCAGCATGAGATTGTTGACAACTTGACGCCACCCAGGACGAGGACGAGGAGGACGAGGACGAGGAGGACGAGGACGAGGAGGACGAGGACGAGGAGGATTTTATACATGTTCAAAAGTGACGAAGGGAGGTTTTATGAACCACACAGGCGATGACGATGATGAACACGAAAAAGAAGTCTTGATTATGGAGCGCGGACCTTGTGAGATTGAATCTATCACGAGCAAAGGAACTTTGGTCTGAACCACCGCCAAGGGCGATGAAAGTCGTCGACCTTGCAAGCGATCATGTCTATTCTCGACTTGTCTCCGGAGCGATCTTCATGCTCATTCCTATCATGTTGACTCAGTTGTACATCCCAGGGTCCATGAACTTTGCAGAGGTTCCCAGCAAGAACAAAGTTCCAGCCTCACTGCAAGTGTTCAACATCCCTGCGGCGAACAGCATGGTGCTGGGCAAGGCGATGAAACAGCCCATCAAGGTCTATGTGCGCAACAACGTCTCTTACCCGATCAGCGGGCAAGCTCTGCAAGCGAGAGTCAGCAGCTGGAGCCCCGATCATTCCTTCGCTTTCTGTGCCGAATCCGCACACGTAGCGGGGACGATCGAGTCCCTCCGACACGCAGAGCTCTGCAAGTTTGAGCTGGAAGGAAACCTGGTGAGCACAGATGACGACGGGATCGGAACGTTTGCACTTCTTTCCTTCACGCGCGCGGTCCCAGGGATGGTGGTTGTTGAGATCTTCCTTGAATACTGTCCGGATGCTTCTTGCTCAGACCGTGTTTTCCTCAACACCTCTGTGTTGCTCTCTATGACTACCACGACCAACTTCCTGCGATCAATGAACTCTGCGCCGGACGTCCTGCTGTCCAACACACCCATGGCAAGTCAGCTGTCAGACAGCAGCATCCCGCAAGTGATGGTTGTTGACGGGAGCGGGAGACCAGTCTTCAACGCGACCGTTGTCATGTTTTCAATCTCGAATTTCACGAGGTACTTTGACAGGCTGAGTGATTCTACGATCGAGGTCTTTGGGACGGATCGAGCTCTGGCCGGGGACCTCAGCAAGTTTGTAGCGCTAGATAACGCCGTGGCTGTTTCAGACCAGCACGGGATCGCCAGGTTTGACCGGCTGACAGTCATCGCGTCAAACTGCAAGTCCTTCTCCCTTGCCTTCTCCTACCTCGGCAGGTTTGAAGTCTGGAATCGAGTCAGCCTTGTGTCCGGCCCACCCGACGCTGCATCGGTGAAGATGTTGATCACAGAAGCGTCTCTTGTAGAGGCTGAAGACAAGATCTCCCTGGGGGTCCTCGGATCTCCGACACAGTACGGACTGAGGGCCGTCCCGCGGGACGCTGAGCAAGATCAGCCGTGGAGTACAAGGGGGAAGAGTGTTGAAGGACAAGTCATGACCAATGTCTTCGTGAGGTTGATACCCCTGCTGCTGCTGCTCCTGCTCCTCCTGCTCCTCCTCCTGCTCCTCCTCCTCCTCCTCCTCCTCCTCCTCCTCCCTCTTCCTGCTCCTGCTCCTGCTCCTGCTCCTGCTCCTGCTCCTGCTCCTGCTCCTGCTCCTGCTCCTGCTCCTGCTCCTGCTCCTGCTCCTGCTCCTGCTCCTGCTCCTGCTTCTCCTCCTCCTCTTGCCTCTCCTCTTCCTCGTTTGCCAGCATCAGCTTCCCGTCGCGTCTCCTGGGCGTGAATGTTCCCTCGCTCCTCATTCATTTTCCTTTCCTCATCATTTGGTGTTGCTGATCTCTTTCCTTCGTCCATCTTCAATCCTCCTCTCCTCCTCCTTCCCTTCCTTCCTCTCCTCCTCCTCCTGCATTTCTTCTCGGTTTCTTCTCTCCGTTGCCTTCAGCACTTGATCGTTTCTCCGGCATCAGGGTGGGCAATCCTGTTCAAAGTCCAGTCAATCGCCGTCTCTATCCAAGAGCAGGCAAGAGGGTGATAGCGTATGCGTACCCTTTCTACTCGGCCGACAATGAACGGGTGAGATAAGAAAGCGGCAGAGCTTATAAACTTGTTGTTTGTGATTGTAGTTTGTGATTGTTGTCTGTCTTTGTTGTTTGTCTTTGTACATTTTTCATTTGCGATCTACATGTAGTTTGATACCTTGCGTTGATCTGGGAGAGTTTGCATGCTCATGGTTGTGAACAAGATCATTGTTTGTACAAATACGACTTTCATGTTCGTCATTTCTTGTGACTGCAAATTTTCCATTTTACAGGAGGTTTACAGTGTCCTTGGAAGTGTGAATGGAAAAGTTGCTATGATGGAGACTAGGAAATGGCGGAGATTCAAGGAGCTTGTCAACCCCATCAGCGAGCCCAGCGACAAGGATGGTGTAGCAAGATTTACCAACATGAAGTTGAGCCAGGAGGTGATGACATGATGTGTTGTTGGTTGGAAAGCTGACGCTGGACGATTATGATTTCCCTTCCCTGATTCCCTTTGAATCCTACAACTTTCTGTTCTCTTCCTCATATCTTTCCTGCTCCTGCTCCTGCTCCATTCTCTCGATTGATCCACTTTTTCAACTGTCTTTTCCTTCCATCTTTTCTGTGTTGCAGGGAATCCCCGGGGTCTATCAGATCAGATTCTTTACAGATGGCCAACAGGACCCTGAAGTTTTGCTGTGGCAGGTGAGAAATACAACAAAACATGTTCAATCATGCACTTTCGTTGTATCTCGTTGACAAGTTGTTGTCAGACAACGACGTCGGTTGTCAAGATTGAAATGAACGTGTCCAAAGAGATCTACGAGCAGGAGAAGCTTCAAAGCACATTTGGATGTATCGCGTACGACGGGATTTTGGTATTGAGATGCATTACTCTAGATTGTGCATGACTTGCTGTTCTCAAAACCATTTTGTCTCCTGTGTTGTCTTATTGACACAATACATGTCTTTACGATCATGTTACAGTTGTCGAACTCTCCTTCTGAATACTTTGTTTTCCCAGGGTTGCGTGAAGAAGGGTCTAGTTCCTATTCAGGCCGGAAACCCTCTCTGCACCCAGCAAGATAATCAGATACAGGTTTCAAAATGACTGAATGGACATGATGATGGAGATGATGATGATGATGATGATGATATTGGTGGAGATGATGATGATGATGATGATGATGACGGCGATTAAGACAGTTGTACTCATTTCTGTTTCCAGTGGATGAAGGATCTTGGTCTGGTGAAGATCCAAGCACAAACGCCATATATCCGTCAAATGGCAGGTAAATCTTTGATATTGAAGACCCTCGGTTATCATAATGATTGTTGGACAGATTTCGGTGCAAACTTTCAAACAAATGGACAATTTCCCTGCCGAGCAATCAGTCCGATTGCAGGTGGTATGAATGTTCTTTGTTTGTCCCTTACACATCAACACCACACTCTCACTCTTTTCAACAACATGAAACACGCATCATCCTGCAAGAGGAGATGAATACACACACCACTGTCCTTCAATGAGCAAAGTATCACAAGCTTGTCTTGATCTAAACAACATACAAGACAAACACCATATCATACCACCTCATCAAAGGACTCATTTTTCATCAGATCCAACAAGGGGGACCTTTCTTGTGCGGGTGGTGGACGGGGACGGAAAAGGCGTTGAAGGAAAAGATGTTTACCTCTGGGTAAAACCGGACAAGGGGAAAGAAACAAACGAGATTGCTCTGTTTGATCCTGGCAATGAGCGGGTAGGGGCAAGGAGTCAGCTGCTGGAGGTCGGAGGAGGGTTGTATCTCTACACAGAAAACACCTCCTCCTCCTCAGGATTTCTGTGGGTCCAGAACGAAATTTTCTTCTCTGATGGAAGCCTGTGCGATAACTGTTCGAATGCTCCCTTTGAGTACACGTTCACTGTTGATGGCATCAGAAGTTCATCCGCGTTACAGGTGAGGGAGATGATGATGATGATGATAATGATGATGATGATGATGATGATGATGATGGAGATGATGATGGAGATGATGATGATGATGGAGATGATGATGATGACGACGACGATGATGATGATGGAGATGATGATGGAGATGATGATGTAGATGATGATGATGAAAAGGATGATGATTCTGTTGCTGCTGAATCAGTCAAAGTTACAAATCTTGTTCTGTCAACTTTTTTGCCTTGACACGCATCCTTCTCAGTTCCGTCGAGCAGCTCTTTACAGCGGTCAAACCACGATCTCAACCTACAACAAGCTCTGCGGGGATTTGACCTCCTCCTCCTTCTTCGCCTCCCTGTCCTCCTCCTCCTCCTCCTCCTCCTCCCTCAACGAGACTGAGTATGTTCAGCTTATGTCTCCTCTCACTGCTGTTTGCGCATCCATCAAAGTGCAGCAGACTCTCTCAGCTCAGGTGTCTGCTGGGGCTAACGCGGGGACTGTGGTGGCTCAGGTGGTTCAGCCGTCGAACCAGGGGATTGCAGGAGTGGAGGTAAGGGGAGAAGGAGGAGGAGGAGTAGGAGGAGGAGCAAGAGGAAGAGTTGGTAGTTGTGGAGATGAATGAAGCAAAGGAGGAAGGGAAGGAGGAAGGGAAGGAGGAAGGAAAGGAGGAGGGAAAGGAGGAGGGGAAGGAGGAAGGGATGGAGGCAGAGTGAGAGGAGAGGGAATGAAGAGGCACACCGAGCTCTTGATCAAGGCAACTCGAAAGCAGGAGGCAGAAGAGGAGTGAAAACAGGAGGGAAGTTGCTGATCGAGAAAGGAGGGCAGGAGTAGCTTCTGACCCTCTATTCATTTTCTCACCTCTTAACTCCCTCCTCAGGTCTGCCTTGCCTGGGACGACGACCACCTCAAGGATCCGAACTCTCCTCTCCTCGCCGCCCTCAAGTCGCTGAACCCCCTCCGCTCCTCCTCCTCCTACGGGCCCTGCATCCTCAACTGCCTGCGAGCCAACCCCCTCCTCCTCCCTGCTCAGTGCGCCTCTACCTGCAAGTTCAGCCTCGTATCCCTCTCCTCCGGTCTCTGCAACCTTACCGACGCATCGGGTATCGTCAGGATCAGCAGCGTCTCCTTCCCCTTCCCCGCAGGCCTGCTACCATGGTACCTCTTCCTCCGCAACCCACTCGACGATCCTCTCTATCCTCCCAGGGCACCAGAGCTCCTCCGCTACCGCTGCTTGCTCGAGCGCCAGGGCCTCTCCCTCCCTTCCCCCTGCACCAGCGACAAGTTCTGGACTCTTGTGGAGGAGGAGACGCGGGTCAGGTTTGTGAACCAGTCCTTCCTAGCGAGCTCGCTCGAGCCGCCTACGATCCGTTATCCTCCTCCTCTTCCCCTCCTCGTGCGGCCGGGGGCGAGAGCGGAGCTGGACATGTACACGTACAGCATGAGCAGCGGGGCTGGAGTGGAGAACACAAAGACGATCGTGCGGTTTGTTGCCGTCCCCTCCCTCCTCCCTGGGAGCAGGAGGCCGAGCCTGGGAGACGGAGGAGGAGGAGGAGGAGGAGGAGGAGGAGCGGCGAGTGTATCTTTGGATCTTGCCCTTCTTATCTCCTCCAAGTTGAACTTCGTTTGCATTGG